AGAAGCACCACGTGCGCTCACATGCATACCCTCGCTCACACACGAACCCACACAGTCGCACCCTGACATGTTTTCACACGTGCTGTCCCACAGGCATGTACACACACTCACACATGGGCCCTCAAGCATGCTGTCACATGGGCTTTAAACTAGGTTTGTTGGGGGCAGGTGAACAAAGCCCACAGGTAAGTGCTGCATGTGCGGGACTGGGAGATGGGTTGGAAATGGGGGGGACTACGGCCTATAATGGGAAGGAGAAAGGAGGGTCAGGGCACAACAGGGAGGCAAGATCAAATCAGTATCTTAGATGCCTATATACAAATGCGAGAAGTATGGGTAATAAGCAGGAAGAACTGGAATTGCTAACCAATAAATACAACTATGAAATCATTGGTATTACAGAAACCTGGTGGGATGGGACTCATGATTGGAGTGTTGGTATGGAAGGGTACGGCTTGCTCAGGAAGGACAGACAGGGAAAAAAGGGAGGAGGGGTTGCCTTGTATATTAAAAATGTACACACTTGGACTGAAGTGGAGATGACTGTAGGAGATAGCTGTGTAGAGAGTCTCTGGGTTAAGCTAAAAGGGGTAAAAAACGAGGGGGATATCATGCTAGGAGTCTACTACAGGCCCCCTAGCCAGGTGGAAGAGGTGGATGAGGCCTTTTTTAAACAATTAACAAAACTATCCAAAGCCCAAGATTTGGTGGTGATGGGGGACTTCAACTATCCAGACATATGTTGGGAAACTAACACAGCGAGGCACAGGCTATCCAATAAGTTTCTGGACTGTATTGGAGACAACTTTCTGTTTCAGAAGGTTGAAAAAGCTACCAGAGGAGAAGCTGTTCTGGATTTGGTTTTAACAAATAGGGAGGAACTAGTTGAGAACTTGAAAGTGGAAGATAGTATAGGGGACAGTGATCACGAAATAATAGAGTTCATGATCTTAAGGAAAGGTAGAAGGGAGACCAGCACAATTGAGGTTATGGATTTCAGGAAGGCAGATTTTGATAAGCTCAGAGAACTTGTAGGTAAGGTCCCATGGGAAGCAAGACTGAAGGGAAAAACAACTGAGGAGAGTTGGAAGTATTTCAAAGGGACGTTGTTAAGGGCCCAAAAGCAAACAATTCCGCTGTGTAGGAAAGATAGAAAATATGGCAAAAGACCAGCTTGGCTTAACAAGGAGATCTTGCACGATCTCAAAATAAAAAAGGAGTCATATAAAAAATGGAAACTAGGACAACTAACAAAGGAGGAATATAGGCAAGCAACACGGGAATGCAGGGGCAAGATTAGAAAGGCAAAGGCACAAAATGAGATCAAACTAGCTACAGGCATAAAGGGAAACAAGAAGACCTTTTATAAATACATTAAAAGCAAGAGGAAGACCAAGGACAGGGTAGGCCCACTGCTTAGTGAGGAGGGAGAAGCAGTAACAGGGAACTTGGAAATGGCGGAGATGCTCAATGACTTCTTTGTTTCGGTCTTCACCGAGAAGTCTGGAGGTGTGCCTAACGTAGTGAATACAAGCAGAGAGAGGGTAAGTTTAGAAGATAGGATACACAAAGAACAAGTTAAAAATCACGTAGGAAAGTTAGATGTCAGCAAGTCACCAGGTCCTGATGAAATGCATCCCAGGATACTCAAGGAGCTGATAGAGGAGGTATCTGAGCCTTTAGCTATGATCTTTGAAAAATCATGGCAGACAGGGGAGATTCCAGAAGACTGGAAAAGGGCAAATATTGTGCCCATCTATAAAAAGGGGAATAAGAACAACCCAGGAAACTACAGACCGGTCAGTTTAACGTCTGTCCCAGGGAAGATAATGGAGCAGGTAATTAAGGAAATCATATGCAAACACTTGGAAGGTAAGAAAGTGATAGGGAATAGCCAGCATGGGTTTGTGAAGAACAAGTCATGCCAAACTAATCTGATAGCTTTCTTTGATAAGATAACGAGCCTTGTGGATAAGGGAGAAGCGGTGGATGTCATATACCTAGACTTTAGTAAGGCATTTGATACGGTCTCGCATGATATTCTTATTGATAAACTAGGCAAATATAACTTAGATAGGGCCACGATAAGGTGGGTGCATAATTGGCTGGATAACCGTAGTCAGAGAGTTGTTGTTAATGGTTCTAAATCCTGCTGGAAAGGGATAACAAGTGGAGTTCCTCAAGGGTCTGTTTTGGGACCCGTACTGTTCAATATCTTCATCAATGATGTAGATATTGGGATAGAGAGTACGCTTATTAAGTTTGCAGATGATACCAAACTGGGTGGGGTTGCAACTTCTTTGGAGGATAGGGACATAATTCAAAATGACCTTAGCAAGTTAGAGAAATGGTCAGAGGTAAACAGGATGAGGTTTAATAAAGAGAAATGCAAAGTGCTCCACTTAGGAAGGAACAATCAGTTCCATACATACAAGATGGGAAGCGACTGTCTAGGAAGGAGCATGGCGGAAAGGGATCTAGGGGCCATAGTGGACCACAAGTTGAATATGAGCCAACAGTGTGATGCTGTTGCAAAAAAAGCAAATATGATTCTAGGTTGTATCAACAGGTGTGTTGTAAGCAAAACTCGTGAAGTCATTCTGCCACTCTACTCTGCACTAGTTAGGCCTCAGCTGGAGTACTGTGTCCAGTTCTGGGTGCCACATTTCAAGAAAGATGTGGAGAAATTGGAAAGGGTACAGAGAAGAGCGACAAGAATGATTAAAGGTTTAGAGAACATGACCTATGAAGCCAGGCTTCATGAACTGGGCTTGCTTAGTTTGGAAAAAAGAAGATTAAGGGGGGACATGATAGCGGTTTTCAAATATCTAAAAGGGTGTCTGTCACAAGGAGGAAGGAGAAAATTTGTTCCTCTTGGTTTCTGAGGACAGGACAAGGAGTAATAGGCTTAAAGTGCAGCAGGGGAGGTTTAGATTGGACATTAGGAAAAAATTCCTAACTGTCAGGGTGGTCAAATATTGGAATAAATTGCCAAGGGAGGTGGTGGAATCTCCCTCTCTGGAGATATTTAAGAACAGGTTAGATAGACATCTGTCAGGGATGGTGTAGACGGAGCTTGATCCTGCCTTGAGGGCGGGGGGCTGGACTCGATGACCTCTCGAGGTCCCTTCCAGTCCTATTATTCTATGATTCTATGATTCTATGCCTTCCCACGCTGTGCTCATGCACTCTTTCATACCTCCTCACACAGTCACGTATGAACACCCTGGGTAGGTCTAGACTACAGGCTTTTGTCAACAGAAGTTTTGTCGACAGATACTGTGGACAAAGCTGTCGACAAAGAGCGTCCAAACTACATCCAGTTCTGTCGACAAAGCAAGCCGCTTTGTCGACATGGCAGTGTAGACATAAAGGACAGTGTAGATGCAATAACACCTTCTGTCGACAGAACTCTGTCCACAAAAGGCGTTATTCCTCCTAGGATGAGGTTTACAGCCGTCGACAAAACTGCTGAGTTCTGTCCATGTTATGTCAACAGAACTCAGCAGCAGTGTAGACGCAGGTATAGTTTTGTTGACAAAAGTCCACTTTTGTCGACAAAACCCTGTAGTCTAGACACACCCACTAGCGCGAGCTCACACTCATACACACTCTGTTGTGCTCACCCCGATGCTCATGGCGCTCATCTCTGCCCCACTCACCTGTCTAGTCTCAGAGCCCTCTGGGCCTTGTGCTGAGGAGAAATGCTCTTGTACAGAGGCTGGCCTCTTTCATAGTGTTTGGGGTTTCCTTCCAGCTCAGCCACGCTCCCCATTACATTCCGGTGCTTGGAAGGGAACATCGGGGTGGACCGGCGCATCACCCGGTTCGTTCTGCCCGTGGGTGCAACCATTAACATGGACGGCACGGCTCTGTACGAGGCCCTGGCGGCCATCTTCATCGCACAAGTCAACAACTATGAGCTCGATTTCGGGCAAATCATCACAATCAGGTAGGTGGGCCTGAAAACCTGTGCTATGGAGAGGGAGTCCAGCCTTGAGGGGACTGGGAGGGCTTGAAGGCCTGGCTCCAAAGGGTTCTGGTGCCTGTTCTGCTTGGAAAAGGGATTGAGAAAAGCGGGGAAATGACAAATTCAGTCCAGAGGGGGCCCCATTTGTGCCAGCCATGTGCTGGCGGGGAGTTCTGCTCCAGGCCGGAGGTCAGGCTGGGCTTCTCAGACTGGGGTACAGGAAGGTTCTCCTTGGGGTGAGCAGAATGAGTCCTTCTGAGAGCCAAGTGGCAGCGGCTGGGGGGTGGGACTGATTTCCAGGGCTCCCTGACAGTGACCTGCAGAAAGAATGTTTGAGCGGTGGTGGAGTCATACTGGTCCCTGGCTAGTTGATGGACAAAGTAGGGTGGGAAGATCTTTCCCTGAACCAACTACTGTTGGAGAATCATAGAACTGGAAGGGACCTCAAGAGGTCAAGTCCAGTCCCCTGCCCTCACGGCAGGACCAGGCACCATCTAGATCATCCCTGAGAGATGTCTATCTAACCTGCTCTTAAATGTCTCCAGTGATGGAGATTCCACAACCTCCCCAGGCAATTTATTTCAATGTTTAAGCACCCTGACAGGCAGAAAGCTTTTCCTAATGTTCAGCCTAAACCTCCCTTGCTGCAATTTAAGCCCCTTGCTCCAAGAAGAACAATTTTTCTCCCTCTTCCTTGTGACACCCTTTTAGATACTTGAAAACCACTATCATGTCCCCCCTCGGTCTTCTGTTTTCTAAACTAAACAAGCCCAGTTCCTCCAGTCTTCCCTCATAGCTCATGTTTCCTAGACCTTTCATCATTTTTGTTATTCTTCTCTGGACCCTCTCCAATTTGTCCACATCTTTCCTGAAAGGTGATACCCAGAACTGGACATGATACTCCAGTTAAGCTGGACACCTGCTAACTCAAGTGACAGAGAATCTCCACCACAGAGATCACACCCACCTTGCCCTTTTCCCCATTCTGTCCTCAGCAGACAGACAGTGCAGGGCTTGGATGGCGGCAGTAAATGAGGCAGAGGCTACATGCTGTGTGAGGAATAGTGACCCAGGTGCCTCCGTCCCTGAGGCATCATCCATCTCTGGCACTGGATGAGGTGCGGTCCTGGGGAAGACCTCGCATATGGCTGTTAGGGATGTAATAGTGTAGTCCAGCGGTGCACAATCCCCCAAGGCTGTCTTCCGGGGGTGGGGAGCAACATTTAAAGGGGTCGCACTCTTTTTTTTTTTTCCTAAAAAAAAAAAAAAAAAAAAAAAAAGCAAAAGCTTATTGGTTAATGCTATAGACTACACATATTCCCCCTCCCAGTACATTTTTTTTTAGCAGGCTTGGCTCAGTCCTGCTGCGGCTCTGCATTTAAAATGTATTAGGAGCTAGACAGGCAGGCAGCCTGGCTCAGTCCTGGCTCGTGCCGAGTCTGGGAACTCAGACCACGCCTGGATATGTGCTGCTGCCCCCCCGCACTGCTGCCTCTGTATTAGAGGCAGCAGTGCGGGGCAACAGGCAGCTAGTCTATGAAGGGAGCTGGCTTTTAAATCGTCTCCCCTCGCAGACCAGCTCCCACCTGGCCCCCTGCACTGCTGCCTTTGTATCGGAGGCAGCAGTGCAGAGTGGCAAGGGGCTCTTTGGGAGTGGGGTCGGAGTGCACTGGCTGCCGGCCCCACCCCCGGGGACTATAGAATAGTTGAGCAACCGATAAGAATTCATGAGGTTACTTGACTATTCAGTTAACCGATATTTAACATCCCTGGGCTATGTAATTGAAGAATGCCTCATGATGCCTAGACACAAAGGGGCAGAGCTAAGGTTGAATGGGCCGCCCGAGATCTGGCATTTCCTGCCTTTTCAGCGTATCCCTTTCCAACCTTAATGTCTGAATGTAGGGTTTTTTTTTTTTATGCAATTCAAACAGAAAATAAAAGTAACCGTGGAACCAAGTTTGGGGCTTGAGCCTGCTCCGTTGACACCAAAGGCAGTGAGCTCGCTGGGCTGAGGGCGGCAGGCAGGGGTACTGATTCCCACGCCTTTCTTTTTCCTACTGCTAACTCTGTTTTCCTGCCCCCCTTCCTTCCCAGCATCACTGCCACTGCAGCCAGCATTGGCGCGGCGGGCATCCCCCAGGCGGGCCTGGTGACCATGATGATCGTGCTGACGTCAGTGGGGCTGCCGACCGAGGATATCACGCTCATCATCGCAGTGGACTGGTTTCTGTAAGTTCCCCATTCAAGGGTGTGCCAGTGTCTTCTGTACTCAGCTTCCATTCTAGGAAGCTCAGTGAAGGCTCTAGAGCAGGAGCGGGCAATATAAGGCTCACAGGTTGGCCACCAAGCCATTGGATCCAGCCTGCAGGCCACCTGATCCAGCCCGCGGGCCTCCCTACCGTGACCGTTAGACACAGAGCAGCCCCATGCTGCTTTAAGCAGCTGGCTCCCCCCTGTGGCTCTCTGCTCCAGGCGCCTAGGAAAGGAGGAGGCTTCATGGGCTGTACCCGCCCTCCAGAAAAATCTCTCAGCTCCCATTGGGGAGATGGGAGGCAGAGGCAGCATGTGGAGCCTCGCCTTCTCCCCAGAGCAGAGAGCCACAGAAAGAAGCCAGGCATTTTGAGCAGCCTGGGGCTGCAGCAAGTAGGGAGCCTGCTTCAGGTTCCTGCAAGACTGTTGGCTGGAAGCCGCCTAGGTAAGAGCCTTCTGGCCATAGCCTGCCTCTGGCCCCTCCCACCCCCCAACTCCCTTCCTCAGTTCACCACCCCCTCCTGCCCTAGGTCATCACCCAAACCCTTTGCACCCTCCCACCCCAGGTCACAGCTCCCTCCCAGACCCTGCACCCCTTCCTAGGGTGTGTCTAGACTACAGGGTTTTGTTGACAAAAGTGGACTTTTGTCGACAAAACTATACCTGCATCTACACTACCGCCAAGTTCTGTCGACGTAATGTCGACAGAACTCGGCAGTTTTGTCAACGGCAGTAAACCTCATTCTATGAGGAATAACACCTTTTGTCAACAGAGTTCTGTCGACAGAAGGCGT